ATATCCTTAACTGAAACATTATATAAATTTACATGGAACCTTTTTTGCGGCTATTAAGAAAAGGATCACACTGCTTAATACTTTTAAAGCTAGGATAATAAACACTTGCTTATTAATTTTAATAAGACGTAAAATATTTCTGCATATAGGGTAACTGCACCAGTGGTGGATCAATTAAGCCTACTAAATTTATTATTTTGACTTTAAAGGTGTACAGATTTTTTCAAATGAAAAATATAGGGTAATCTTTACAATAGTATGAATTAACAAGTCTTCAAGGACACTATCGTGTAGTTTTCGACCTGCTTGTAACGTTTACACCCCCTCACACCCCCATTCAACAATAAAATGACATTGCTCCAGTCGTGGATCATTTACCCCTTTACACTACACAAAAATAACTTAATGATGTAAATTTTTTTTCAAAAGTATTCTATATCGAAAGAATTGATTACTTTCTACTCTAAAAATTAAAAAAATTTAGACTAAACAATTATTTTTTAAGATTTCATGTGAAAAAGCATAAAATCAACAATTGTTGTATTGCTTTGTTTTCCTAAATATTTTCAAATGATTTTATTTCATAAAACTTATCTATACACCTCCCCTAAACGATAGAAACATTTAGTTCAATTAGAAATAGCTTATTTTAACCTTTTTAACGCTGTTGATCCACCATTGGTACCTGATCCACCACTGGTGCATTTACCCTATATGTATCGTTTAAAAAATCCAGAGACACCAGTTGCACCTGGAAATGCTTATATATACATTCATATGCAAAGTACACCTTGATTATAATTAAGCTTTAGAGTCTAAGTAGTGTTCACATATGACAACAAATGTTTATTATATTATCTAGAGCAAACTTTTGATAAAGCGCTCGAACTTCTTACATGAAAATTAATATATTGGTATGTGTAACTTGTTTCTCGTCTCATTTATTATGCAACCTGTTTTGTTCTGAAACAAACACATTCAGTAAAAAAATTGCTTTAAAACGTAACTTAAGTAAAGCTGCTGCTTTGCTGATAACAATTAAATTAATAGCGTCTACAAATCTTTTCCATTTTACTGCTTTTCTTATCACGTTAGTTTAATTTTCAAACGTCTCTTTCTAAATAATATATTTTTTTGTATTAAAAGCAATTTAAACAATAAATTGTATTATTTAATTGGAACCGTAATAAATTATCATATATTAACATAATATATAAACATTTATCATCAACATCTTCTTATAATAATAATATTTTTTCATTTTCTCAAATATCTGTCATCCTTTAAAATTTCAGAAGAAATTCAAAAATTAATAAATTTTTTTCGAAACATACTGTGACAGCAATATACCTAGTTACTGACAGACGTGATCAGTAGTATTCATTTTCATTAAATAAAACTTTTTAACGGTACATTTTGCACTTTCAACTTGGAAATTACGTGCAACTGATCACTTCTGACAGACATTGTTTTTTACGCATAAATAAAACTAATCCAATAATTTTTATTATGAAAATTCATTAAAGCCTTTAATGAACAATAAATGTTAGTATTTTATTTAACAATGCGAGTTTTGAAACCTTTGGTTCAGAAATAAAATAATTTTTGAAACAAAAGATCATTAAAATATTATGCATATATCATTATAATTAATCAATCGACGAATAATATTTTAATACTGATTATATTATATAATGATAAATAATAATTCATTTTTACGGAAGCTACAGCAGTAAATGATGCTAAATTTAAACATTCAACATTATTCACTAGTGTAGATCCTGTAAAAATTAATTATCATTATATTCAAAAGATTTGTTAATTAATACAATTATTGTTAGTAAACAACTTAACATTAATTAATTTTTCTAATTTATTACTTCATATTTATGTAAACAGGATAACATTATAAAACCCATTAAATAACATTTACCTTAAATTTTCTTAAGACAAAGCTCGTGAGATTATTTCACTTTCACATCTTTATAGTTTACATAATTTAAAATTTATTTTAATTTGATTAAACTTGACAAAATTAATAAGTAAATCTTACCAAATTAATAATCAATATACTTTTACTACTTCTTAAACTACAGTAATGTATATATTTATATCAAGAAAAAAATCACATCAAATTCAATTTGAAATAAAAATGTGAAAATAATTTCACTTTACTCACTGTATAAATATAGACTTATAAATTTAATTATTATCTACTTCTGTAGACAAAATCTTGCCGATGAAATAAGGAAACCAAATTAATGGAAATATGAAAAGGAAATACTACAGAAGTTCGTCATGTAATTACCGGCGCAATTAGAATTTACAAAGTGACCGGCTTTTTTATTTATCGGTTGGTGCTATTTCTAGAAGTCTAGAACGATCTTTCCTTTCATGGTCTTTCGATTAAATCAGAGAGGATAGACTACAGGAGACCAATGTAGTGTATACGAAAACGGTCAATTTTTGTCGGAAGCTGTTAGTTCCGAAACTTCTCACGCGCTGCGTTGCAAACAGATAGATACCAGAAGTTCTAAAATGAACATGTGCTTCTTAGTTAATAGCATACATCGTGATATATGGTTTTCCGTCAGAATCACATGTTTTCGGTGAAATAAATAAATAATGTATGAGGTAAGTTTAGAATTCGCCAAAGTGTAAATTTTTTAGTTTAAATTATGTGTTTTAAATTTTTATTTATATATTATGATATAATGAAATATATTTCATTATTTAAAATTTAATATAAGTTACCGTTATTATATAAATGATGATTAAAATTTTTGCCAGTTTATAAGGTTCGTTAATTTATGAAATATTATTTAATATTGTATTTATTATATTATTTAATTAAAGTTGTGTCAAAAATCTTTTTTTTATACCATTATGAAAAAACTTTATAACTATAGATATATTTAAAATTATATTTAAACTTTACATTTCCAAATAAAAATTAATGTTATTAATGCAAATCAATTGTTTTTATTTTGTAAATACTTAGGTATATATTTTGGGAAATGATAAATACCTGTGCTATGTATATATAACCATATTTTTTAAAATAAGCTTGCTAAATAGACAGTGATTAAATTATTTAATATGTTATAGAAATATACCTAAATTTATGTTATGTTATTCAAAAGAATAACACAGCTAACAGATCAAAACAGATATTTCTTGACGTGCGTACGTTGGTGGTATCTATCTGTTTTTTTCGCCACCTATGGGGATGTATGAGTATAATTAGTCTCCTTTAGTCTATTCCCCTTGGATTAAATCATGTGAGGACTACCTTGTGACCATAAACTACATAATTTTCGTGTTCTGTCCCATGTCGACGTGAAATAAAAGCTGAGGAGAAATCGAAAGAGATGAACTGATATCACTTTCTCTCACTCATATTCGGTGTTTTCGGGAGTTGCTGTAACTGTAAGTATACTGTCAGTATGTTGTGATTGGCAGATCCATCAGCATGTTTATTCTGATTTGGTAATTTTTTACTGTCAGCAACTCCCGAAAACACCCATTAAGGAGCTTCTACAATAGGTCCAAGAAGCAAGTCGAACTTCAAGGCCTTTTCCGAATTGGGATTTTTGTCGCACTTTTGATAAAGTGTATACTCGGGAAGTATGCAGTTTCCTTGTTTTCGCATGGAAAAACAAGGAAACTGCATACTTCCCGAGTATACACTTTATCAAAAGTGCGACAAAAATCCCAATTCGGAAAAGGCCTTGAAGTTCGACTTGCTTCTTGGACCTATTGTAGAAGCTCCTTTATGGTTTTGCTTTCCGACGATGTTAAGGACTTTTTGCTCGCGATTGGTATCAATGCTTTGATGACGTCACTGCGCTTGCGAACCAACGCGTCAATCACGCAACGCAAACATTTAGGAACATATTGGAGAAAGGGCTTAAGAAGAAAAAGAAGAAACATATTTGTGTCTCTCTTACTCTAACTGATGCCTGCACAGGCAGCCGAGCTGTGAACGCTCCATAAGAAGTATAAAATGGTTGTACTAATATTCAATTTATATTTAGAAATAATAATAGAAAAAAATAACTGCATGAACTTTTTTATTTATTTCTTTTACTTTTCTTAATATTACAAAAAAATTTTACACTCAGCCAATGTATTTAGAGGTTAAAGACATTTGTTTACATTTGAACACAACTCGATTATTACGCCCTCGTCTTTATTGCGGCCTATACGAGAAACTTTTGGTCACGCTATCTGACGTTCATCCCATGAATGGGAGTTTCGGGACCTGTATATTAGGCTGTGTCAGTTCATCGAGATGTATGTTATTAAAAAGATATAAAATATTATGTGATATATTATGTAATCACATAAAATGTGATTAGTAAACAAACACCCCTAACCTCAAAATTTATATTTTATCACGAATTCAGAGAATCTATCAATGCAATTGAATCAAATATATAACAAAACTAATTATCAACACACATTTTAATTTTATTATATGTCAACAAGCGTTTGTCACGTTTAAAATATGCATAAAATTGATGAAAGTGGAAACAAATTTTCTTCCCCATAAGAATAACATTGTGTCGTCTGTTTATTGTCCCTCCAAGCCTCTGACGTCATATCATGAACTCGAAATATCTCGATGAACTGGCCTGGCACAGACACAGCCTAAGGCCAAAGCAGAACAGCTTGACGAACGTGGTTCATGAGATAGAAAAGGACACAAATATATCTCTGTCCTTTTCTAACGCATGTATCTTGTTCGCGTACTATTGTGCGTTGGCCCATACGACCGTAAACAAAGCAGACGACACGTTATAATCGAAATCTAGAATTAAATTCAAAGGCACCTTTTTCATATTTATTCAGATATTTTGAGCCCTTGAAACGCTTATGGACATGAAAGAACTATAAAGTATACATTGTTAATTGTATTAGACATTTGACTCAGTTGCATTTGCGAAATCTACAGATTTACGATTAAATACTTTATAGTGAGGTTAGGCCTGTTTGTTTACTATATATTATAGTATATAAAAAACGAAGTGCCTATTTCTACGCTAACGTAAGCTGATATTTCAAAACTAAACCTACGCGAAGTGACAGCGAAATGAAAAATTAACGTAAACCGATCTCCCAAAACTAAACCTACGCGAAATGAAAAAAGTTTCGAAAAGTGACACCCGTGGGGTAAGTTTCACTTTTCACTTATCGTAAAAAAAAAAAAAATTCACCATTATTCAGGATCCAACGAATTTCGCAAAATACTTTCGGCCATATCCACCCCCTCTCGCCAAGGTTTTTTTAAAAAGAAAAGCGAGCAGTACCTTACGCGGCCGAAGGCCGTGTTTACTATTTTGCATTCACATGTTTTTTACTACGCTAGTGTAATGATGAAGTGTATTTACACTTCGCGTAACTATAGTTTTGGAAATCAGTTTACGTTAGCGTAGGTATAGAGCCAGCGTATAAAAAATATATAAGAGGAATATATATACTGATTACTGTCAAAATGTAAAATGCAGAACAGAGAAACCCCTATACGTGACACTTCCCCTAGTGAGAAAAAAAATGTATACATTTCCAATTTGTATTTGTATAAAATCCACATAAACATAAGTGCAATTAAAGCATGCAAGACAATTCAATTGTAAAAGTACAGAAAATGGTAATAATTTTAGAGTTGTAATATGTTAAAAAGTTTCCTTTTTTTTTCAGTGCAGTGTTATGGTGTTTGCTGCGTATTTTGTTGACAGTTTGAAATAACAAGAAGTAAATAATGGATGCAGATCCAACTCCTCATGATTTACAAAGAAAACTATACTTCCTAGTTGAGCAACTTCAACAAATGGCTTCCACACTGCCTCCAAAATATCAAATGCGACTTCCATATGAGTTATTGTCGGGATTAGCAAATTCTCTTTTAAACGATACTATTTTTGAAATTGTCAAAGGGCTTATGGAAATTCAGCACGTTACAGAAAAACATCTTTTTCAGCAACGATTACAGTTATTGAATCATCATAAAATTGAAGTACAGGAAACAATGTCCACATTAATTATTGAAGAAGATCGAGCGTCTGCAAAAGATGCGCTGAATAAAAAACATAAGGAAGAATTAAAAACAACTGACATGAAATTAGTTTTGCAATTAGATCAAAAAGTTTCTGATCAACAGAGTATTCTTGAAAAAGCCGGTGTACCTGGTTTTTATGTTACAACCAATCCAGTGGAAATTCAGGTGCAAATGCGACTTTGTGACTTTATTATTCGATTAAGCAAAATGGATATTCCTAGATAACAATTGTAGTTGATTTTAAAATCAATTTATTGAAAAGTATCAGATCGTTTATTTATAATTATAAGGAATGAATGTGTGTACTATAATAAAAATTTGTTTTGTTTTGGTAGTCGAAATTTAAATTTGTATTGAAAAATATCCTCATTGTTTGCAACTTTGAAAATAAGGATAAGGCTGTATTATCGATTTATTACAATTATAACTGTTTCAAATACAATTTTTAATCAACACTTCCATAATATATTCTTATCTTGAATGTTTAACCACTAAAAATTTGCAGTTGCAGTTGGCAAAAAATAAGTAAAATGAACAAAAAATGCTGTACATATTTACAATGTAATCTTCTTTATCAGAATTGAAAAATATATTTTTCTACGCTACAGTGTATTCAAAGTAGTTTCAACATTCTGAATACCCAATTCATATAAAAATTAACAATCTTGATAATAATTTTTAAATTTCTATTGAAACTTGTTTCTGGAGGTAAAGGTTTGATGCATATTCATTTATGTTTTTTCTGGCTCGGAAAAAAGAGGTGACTGTTGAATTTGTGGAGTCTGGAAAGAGCCATGGAATTGGTCGGTGCCATTTTCAAAACATATCCTGTATACTTCTTTAAAGGAAGAAACAAAGTGCACTTCTAGACCTTCGGTGATATATTTTGCAAGATTATTGAAATCTCTCTCATTTCCTTCTGGCAAAATTATACATTTAGCTCCAACACGTTTCGCCTGAAAAATATTTTTTTATTTAGTATTAAAGGAAAAGAATAAATGCGAAGGGTCCATTGAAAATTTAGCTTTAAAGTGCTTACAGCAATTGTTTTTTCTTTAATTCCCCCAACTGGGAGAACTTTTCCCGTTAAGCTGAGTTCCCCTGTCATGGCAACATCTTGTCTAATTGCCTGATTTTTCGCTAGAGAAATAAGGGCAGTTGCAATCGTGACTCCAGCACTGGGTCCATCTTTAGGAGTAGCACCTTCAGGTACATGCAAGTGAAGATGCGCATGTTGAAAAAATTCATTAGAAGGATCAACAGTGCTTAAAAAGCTTTCTGCTACAATTTTTGAAATGCTGATTGATTCTTTCATCACATCTCCAAGATGCCCTGTGTAATTCAAAGAACCTTTATATTTTTTCGTGGTTTCCATAAATTTTGTTCTGGTTTCTATAAAAAGAGTTGATCCTCCCATAGCTGTCCATGCAAGCCCCATAACTACACCTGGAGGAGTAACTTGATACATTCTGTCGTGCATAAATAATGGTTTTCCCACAAAGTCTTCGAGATTATCGCACAAGACATGAATTTTTTCTGTTTCTTTCGTCACAATTTTGTAAGCTACATTCCTATGTACTTTACCGATATATTTTTGCAAATTCCTAACTCCGGATTCTCGACAATAAGACTTAATCAGTGAGTTCAAAGCGTTGTCATGAATTACTATCTGTTCATTTGAAAGGCCAGAGTCTTTCATTGCTTGTGGGACCAAATATTGTTGTGCTATAGCGAGCTTCTCCTCGGCAACATATCCGGACATTTCAATCATTTCCATTCTATCTTTGAGAGGTCCCGGAATCGTGTCAATGACATTTGCTGTGCAAATGAAGAGCACTTTTGATAAATCAACCGCAACATCAAGATAGTGATCTAAAAAGTTTGCGTTCTGCTCCGGGTCCAACAATTCTAAAAGAGCCGATGCTGGGTCTCCTTGATGACCTCTGAAAAGAATTAAATTAATTTCATTAAATTGCAAACATCTGCACGCAATCGAAAGGGTATACATACTTTCCTATCTTGTCAACTTCATCAATCAAAATTAATGGATTTTCGGTTTTTGTTTTTTTCAAGCACTGAATCACTTTACCAGGCATAGCGCCTACGTAGGTTCTTCTGTGTCCTTTAATTTCGGCAACATCAGTCATTCCTCCGACACTGAACCGAAAATACTCTCTATTTAAGGCTTTTGAAATTGACTTTGCTATTGAAGTTTTTCCCACTCCAGGTGGACCATGAAAGCATAAAATTGTTCCTTGTGTCGATCCTTTCAATTGACTGACGGCAATAAATTCTAAAAGCAATTTATTCAAACAATGTTACTCTTGTACATTTTAATATATGTTTATTTTTATTATTCACCATGTATTAATTTCTTGACATCCTCCATTCCGTAATGATCGTTATTTAAAATTTCGACAGCCCGTTGCAGATTTAAATTTTCCGGACTTGTTACTCCCCAAGGCATAGAAGTTAACCAGTCTAAATAATTTCTTGTCACACTAGAAAAGTAATCAATTTCATTATTAAGTTCAGGTTAGAATAATTTTTTCTCCAAAAATAATAAAACTTTGTCACTAACTTGAATTCGCTGCTGTGACTTTCCAAGAAACTTAATTTATTCAATTCTTCTTCCAAAACATCCATAACCGGTTTTGGAACTACTTTCTGTCGAATTCTTTCTCTAAACTTTTCTTCAATAGCATCCTTGTCATCTTTCTCAAGTCCCAATTCCTTCTTTATTGCTTTCATTTGTTCGTGAAGTATGTACTTTCTATGTTGCTGCTTGACTTTCTCTTCAACTTCTCTTCCAATTTTTTGTTGAAGTTTACACAGGTCATACTCTTTTTTTAAAAGCGCTAAAGACAATCGAAGTCTTTTAAGAATCTAAATTATTATTGAAAATAAATTTGTTTAAAATGTAATTACATTAAATGAAAAATATTGATTTAAAAGTAAACAAGGCCTACATCCATTTCTTCAAGAACTTGCTGGAGCTCTTGAGCATCAGCACCTGTTAAAGCGGCCCCCAAATCACTGAGATAAACTGGATTGTCAACTACTCTTTGTCCTTGATGTAACATTTGTTGCAGAGATTCGCGATATAAAGGATTCATGCTAATTATATCTCTAATAGTTTTAATTAATTCTTGGGTCAATGCCTAAAAACAGTATGTAACATATATTGATAGTATGTAAGGACATGCAATTAATTATGCTTACATTATGCTACATTTTCTACCTTAATTTCCTCGGTTTGTCTAAATTTCTCATGTGTAATATTTACAACTTCAGCCATCAAAAATGGTTGCGCAGAATGCTCAGCAAGTTGTGGATTTACTTTCTGTGTTTCGTCAATCGATTTTTCTTCTGCAACGGCTACTTCTGAGATAGTTTCTTCCACAGGCTCTGTTTTTACATCGTCAGTGTGTTTCTGCTCCACTTTCTTTCGCAGAAAAGGCCTACGAGCTTTCTTACTGCCACCGCTCATTGCATCGTCTACAGGAACGGTAATTGTCGTATTTAATATAGGAAACGTCAGTTTCATCTCTGTGTAAAGTAGATCATTCCAAGAATATATTTAACATTATGTAAGTTAAAAATTTACTTTCCTTTTAAAATTTAAAAAGAAATAAATAATTACATATGAGAGAGTATGTGGTTGGGCATGACATACCAACCATGTCCAACCACATTCTCGCATGATGATAATAATATTATGCATTCAAAAATTCTTCTTCTTACCATGTGTAGACTTGGGAGTTATTTCCTCTAATATCTGGCCCACAATTTTTATTCGCCTATGAGCCATTACAACGAGTTTTAAACGATCCCCCAAATCTTGAGCTTCATGAATTTGTGCAAAAGTTCCAACTGAATAAACGTCATCTAAATTCTGAACCACTTCCGATTCATTTCTATTAAAAATCATTAAACCAAAGACAATTACTTAGTACTAGTTAAAATGTAATTTTTTATAATCTAAGAGACAAACTTACTCTTCGTTCTTTTTTAAGAATATTCCTATATATGGTTGATTTAATTTCACTTTTCGTCTAATCAAGTCAATAAGAATTGGATTTGTTATTTCAATAAGTTTTACAAAACGAGGAAAGACTGGATGTCTATTGATTGCTATAACTGGAACGTGAGGCCAAATTTCTGGAACAACTACTGTTGCTGGTAAAGTAGCAGGATATTCATCCGATTGATCTCCATCTTCACTGGAACTATCCGTTTTCAAATTAAACAATTCAAGTTTTATTATACTTACATTATGGATCGATATTATTTTAAAACAGTCAACTAAAGTATACAAGTTATGAACTGAAACTAACCTCGAAGAACTTTTGTCAAAGGGTTTTTTGGTAGAAAATGTCCTTGTTGAAATAATCATTAAATTCTGACAATATCCTCCAATTTTTTCTCTAGATGTGCACAAATTTACTACTTTAGATTCTGATAAAATTCTAAGTCTAACCGGTAAACCTGTTACTTCCTGACGTTGACACAAATAATTTTTGGTAAATAACCGATTAATTGTTACTCGGGGCCGAGAAACTGTTAGTAATTTTAATTTAAACATATTTGCCCTAAATTTATTTTTTTAAATAAAAAAACAATGTTTATAAACGATACTCTATAGACCCATAATAACCACACTTTTCTAAAAACAGGAAACTTTTTTTAAACATGATATATCACATAACCATCGACATATTAAAATTATAGAATTGAATCGCACCACTGTCAGCAGTCGGAAGCGTGAGATTCGGCGAAAGTCGATTTAACCGACAAGCCTTAACTTCAAGGCGGTTCCAGAATAGGTTCAAGTCTAGGGCCGTTTCCGAATTGGAATTTTTAGCGCATTTTTGATAAAGTGTGTGACGTCTGGCGTCTGCTTCTAGTAAAAATTTCTAGGGAACTCGAAAATGAATCAAATGAGTCGAGAAATTTCAATCCAAATTAAAAAATTTAGACTCAGATGAAATTTTAAGTTATTTAATTGAAATAGATTTTCTCTTTGTCTTTCATTATGAAACATATATATATATAGTAATTGTTATTATAAATTGATATTTGTTATTTAACGAAAAGAAAATATAAGCTAAATATTTATTGAAAAATCCAATAAATATTATTTGATATTGATTATAATTAGTAAATATTTTTAAATCATGTAAAATTATCGTTAATAATTTTAAATGATATTAATATGAGCGTAAAAGTATTTTATAATAATATTAATTATGCAATTAAAATTATATTTATAAAAAAATTGTAAATAAATAAACAAAATGTTTATTTATAATTTAAAGTTATTGAAAATTCTAATATTTTAATATTTAGGAGTTTTGGTATTAAAATTCAATATGGCGGCGATTTTTCTACGCAGTAATGCAATGACTCATGCGAGACGTCTTTTAATCTAAAAATAGCAAATTTTGATTTTACTCGTTAACTACGTAGCATAGATCGTAATGACTATTCAGAAGTTGACCTTGAGCCGTTGAGATTTATTGGTCGAAATGCACGACATGAGCGCTCAGATTGGTTGAATGAGTAAGAGGGGATAAAACTCCTCCCTCTAACGAAAGTATATAAAGCGAGCATCTTCGGCTTGAATTTCAGAACATTTTGAGAATTGTTAGAAGCAAGAAGTGTTACGCGTATCTTCTGATTCTCAAACTAAGTATTGTAATTAACTTAGAGTAATTACAATAAATATTATATTGTAAATAATTTTAATTAAGTATTGTGAACAATATTCAAACATTTAAAGACGAATAACAATTCTTTAATTGTTATAATAATTAACTATTGAGAATTATCAAATAAATTGCAATTTTATTTAAATTAACAAAACAATAATGATAATTCTACAATTCAACTGAAAATTATTAAATTTGTTAATTTTTCAATCTTCAAACTGAATAAAATTGGTTTTTTACTTAAGAGGGGTTTTTCCAATCAAATAAGTGTTTATTTATTTATTATCCTACAATTTATTTATTATTTATAATAAATAATATTATAAAGATTCAAATTTTATTTTGAATTTAAATTCAGTGCCCGCTTTTAAGCGGATAAGGGCGCACTCACACCTTTTGGCTGCCTGCCTGCAGGGGTTGTCATGGCAACGTGTAGGATTAACAGAGAGAGAGATAATTCAAATTTGAATTTACTATCTCTGTTACTCCTTCACGTTGCCATGACAACTCCTGCAGGCAGACAGGCAGCCAAAAGGTGTGAGTGCGCCCTAATAAAGTACAAGAATCCAGCTCATTGAGCAGTAAACCACAGTAAACTCGTGGTCAGATATGCCTACATTTTTCATCTTCTTCTAACTCATGGATTGACATGACAACACGTGCGTAAAACAAGGATAGGAAAGTGTAGGAGGCATATAGGGCCAAAAGTGCACAACAGGCTTCCGTAGGACCCTACCTGCAAGTGACAATTGACAATGTATACACCTTTGAGGATAGTAACGTCTTCTTTAATTTCTCGAAATAAACTTGACAGTAATTTACAAAACAATGAAGCTGATCAAGAACAAAAAGTTGATGAAATAAATGACGACTTTTTGAAAAACTTAGACTATCAAACACACAGGAAAATTAAGTAAGATTCAATTTGTATTATATAAGTGTCCCGACGCGGTAAAAGGGATCTTACGGTGAACTGAATTTTAGGTTATGTTGAGTGATAGTTTTACGTTGATTAAACGTTCATTTTTATCAGTATGTAAAATGAAAATCAGTTTTTATTCAATATTTTTGATCTAATAAAGACTTAAATATCAGTCTTTTCGTGTATTTTCACTGGAAAAATCACAAACATAACCTAAAGTTTTGTTCGCCGCAAGGTCCCTTTCACCGCGTCAAGATATGTATTATTTTGTCCTTTTTATAAAATTTATTTTAAGGGCGATACACCTCATCGAAAACACTAAAATTTTAATACATTTTTAGCTAAATATATATTTCGTTTTGTTTTTACATGCAATATAGGAATGACGTAAATAATAAACTAAAACTGAATAATAAGTTCTTTAACAAAAGAAGAAGTTTTGATAATAAATTTGACAATGTCAAGAAACGTTTTGAAACGGAAACCCGAATTTACCAGACTTCATTGATGGGCAATCTGAATAATAACAGTGAAGAGAAATATAAAGTACAAATGAGTTCTGCAGACAAATACTTGACTACTATTCATTCTATGAAAGATCACCAAAATAATACAAATGAATATTCGTTACACAATCGAAATTGGGTACCAGGACAAATAGCTACAAAAGTTGAAGATAATTCAACTTGCAATGATGATTTAAGTGACTCAGTTAGAAAGAATGAAAAACTTTTTGATAAAGAACAGAATAACATGTTATATCATTTATTTCCTCCTAAAATATCTGCAGTAAAAAGAGTGAAAAATAAAAAAAAATTTGTCGAATCTATTGAGTTTAAGGACAAATATGAAAAAATTATGCAAGCAAAAAAAAGTATAAAACATGACAACTGTTCTTTAATTTTAAATAAGAAACCAGACAATAAAACAATTATTACGCCCTTTAAATATGTTAAAACATCTTTCTTTACTGGTGTAATAAATTGTGCAGCAGAATCATGCAAAAAACATGAAATGAAAACTGATATTACAGCTGACTGGGTTAAAGGAGAAGTTGTAAAACGAAACAAAAACATTAATAACAAGTAACTAATATTTTTAGTTTGCAAAAAACCATTAATGTATGATAACCCTCCGTTAGTCGCATGGTGAGGAACTCCTCACTCAGTTGCATTCTCACCATATGAGACTATCCGTGTGTGGTCAATTTTATTTTTATAATTATTAATGTAATTAACGAAGAATAATTTTACCTTTAATTGTCAATTTATAAGCTCTAATAAACATTTAAGAAAAAATTGTCATTTTGTAATACTGAATTAATTTATAAAGGTGAAGAGTTTCCTTGTCTACAAATTTGATGCGACTGAGGGAGGGATAAATCTTCATTATACATTCAAAATATTTAATAAAAACTGATTTTCTCAATTAAATAAATACATTAACAAATTATTTCAATATTAGTTTCAACAGATTTTTTGACCGACTTTAGATTGATAAAATGCATTTTTGAAAACAAAATGAAAACGAAAAATAAGTTTGACTTTTTTCGGGTGAGAGACAGGATTTTTTTCTTAAACGAAAACTGAGGTTTTTTTCTATACGGACATATAGATGAAAAATGAGCCTAGAAGGTTTAATCCTTAAAAATTAACATTTTTTACTCACTAGAACGCTGAAGACAATAAAATGGTTCTCATTAGTAAAAAATGTTAATTTTCAAGGATTAAACATTCTAGCTCCATTTTTCATATTTATGTCCCTAGAGGAAAAAACTCAGCTTTTGTTTAAGAAAAAGTCGTGTTTCACCCAAAAAAAGTAAATTTATTTTTATTTACATTTTTTCTTTTTGATGAATTCTTTTTTAATGCATTTTACCACCTTGATCATTTCACCTGAAACCCCTTATATATAAAAAAATCACTAAGAAGAAGTTAATTGAGATAAATTAAAAGGATTAAAAATAAATAGTTGAATTTTAAACAAATATTGTTATTTATGTTAACATGTTATTTTATTTAATTGAATGAGTTTATAAAAACATTTTTATGCAGGCATATTAACTTCTTTTACCGTGGTTCAAATGTTTATTTCTTTTTCATAGTAAACAAAATGTTATACATTTAAGTATATAAAGTCTTAAATAATAATTAAATTTTTTTATCTACATTTAGTTTCGACGAAAAAACTCGGATGAAACAAATTCCAGAATGCAAAAACCTTGTTCTCAAACCACAAAGATATTCTGATGATTCTAGAAAAGATCCAACAACAGTTGACGAAAAAGGTATTACCACACGAAATTTTAACCATTTTCAAGATCAAGTCAATTCAACTATGACCGTATCAAATTCAGTGCAATATTCACGAGAAATTGTCATTCGAAAAACTCAAGTTTCAAAAATAAATTTTCCATTACACCTTTTTTATTAAAATATTAAGATTATTTATATAAAGAAAAGTATTTTATTTTAGTATCAACTGTGTTACTTTATTGTTCAAAAAATACTGATAAGTGTTAAGATATTTAACTCATACTTGAATTTAGTATCTGTATATCCATGTATCTATCGACAGAGTAATTAAATTTAAGGATAATTAAAAGTTGTAATCGGATACAAGTTTTGTGTTAAAAATAAAATTTTTCAAACAAATTTTTTTAGACAATTTAGTCGATAGAATGTCTTTGAATTTGAAAATAAAAAAGTTAAATTGATCAAGGAATTTACGATGCTAAGGTTCAAAACGGTGATGATAAAACAAATTTTTTAAGACTGAAAATTATAAAAAGTTTATCTAAAATTTAATTTATATAATTTTTTATGTAAACAGTTTTTTTAAAATCGTTGATCATAAACGTTGTGAACTTATTCATCATCATTTGAAATGGGAAATTGTAGTTCCATATAATACTTATATAACAGGGCAACCATTAATAATAAAACTTTACTGCGTATATTAGGTGTCATAGAAAACTACTGCACATGAATAATTTGTTAGTTAATTTATTAATTTCAATTTCAATTTCAATTTCATTTATTAACGGGACATGCCCTTTCGTACAAAAGTACTCCTAAATTCTAATAGTTACGTAAGTAACAATACAAAATATAAAATATTAACTAAATCTAGGTAGGCAACAATCTTTACATGTAATCTTACAATCAGGGCGGAATTTTAAGCCCGCACCTTAATTACTACAGGCTTATACAGTGTAACCTTACAACCGTATAAATGTACTTTACTGCAATATGTTGTGCTATATGGGGAAAAATATACATTATTATATGTTGTGAAATACGAAGAAATTTTTAATTTCTTGGGCGCAAATAAAAGTTGAAGAATTCAGGATACCGATTTGATGATAACTGTCCCCCACTTGCAAAAAAGGTAATTAGCAAGGTTACGCTAGACAAAATTTTGACCATATCCCAGATAGCACGTAAGCTTGCAGCAACCTTGCGGCAAGCTTCAAATGTCCCATCTGACCCAAGCTTACATGGTAAGTTTACCGAAAGATTGCGGTGTAAGGTTACTGTAAGATTACACAATAAGATTGTCGCAAGATTGCTCAGTAAGCATTGCACGGTAAGGTTGGTGCAAGGTTGCCCAATAACCTTACTTAGAACCTAAAATTTATTTATTTATTTTTATTATATAAATTTTATTTTATAAATTAAACGAAACATTTAAAAAAAATTTTTTTTAGTTTCAAAGTAAGGTTATTTAGCAACCTTGCACCAACCTTGCTACAAGCTTACCGTGCAAGCTTACTGAGCAATCTTGCGATAATCTTATTGTTCAATCTTGCAGTAACCTTACACCGCATTTTTGCAGCAATCTTACACTGCAATCTTTCAGTAAGCTTACAATGCAAACTTGGGCCAGGTGGGACATTTGAAGCTTACGTGCTATCTGGGATATATATATATATATATATATATATAATATATATATTTGATTCAAAAAAATTATCAACAATATATATGAAGAATATATGCAACTTCAAATTTTTTATATTGTATATAATTTTATTTTTTCAGAAAAAATATTCACTTGATATATTATGCTCTCCTTGCGATCGTCTTTTGCAGGTGAAACGCGATTTGAAATTGAATGCTTTGTTTGATCAATAATCTCTATATAAGAAAAGTTTAAAAACTAATTTATGTAGAAAGTTTTCTCTATTAAAAATGGTAACATTAACAACAGCTTTTGTAGAAAAAAAATGTTCAGAGACACAATCAAATAAGTCTCTTACAAAAGAAATTGACAAGGATCATGTCAAAAAAATGACACATTTGTTTATGAATTATAAATCCATCACTGACATTGTACGTATACATTTATAAAATTCATAAATCCCTTATTATTGAATATATTAATTTGAAATGATTTATTTTTTATCTTCTCTATGCAGTAAATATAAAATTTATTTTAAAATATTATATTTTCAGGGAAATTTTGTTTCTTGTGAAAATTTAAAAATAATCTATCTTCAGAACAATGAGATTAATAAAATTGAAAACTTACATTTTGCAAACAATTTGTCTGAGTTATATCTACAACATAATAATTTAACTAAAATCGAAAATTTGGATTCACTTCGAAATTTGAAAAAGTTGTACCTGGGTTACAATAAAATTGCTATTGTTGAGGGATTAGAAAACTTGGCATCTCTGAGAGAATTATACATAGAAAAACAAAGATTAAGTCCAGGAGAATCTCTCTGCTTCGAACCGAGAAGTTGTCTTACTTTAGCAGTAATATATTACTCTTATTATTATTATTAATATTATTTATTCAATTACCTACAATTTTAATGCTATTTTTTTTAAGACATGTTTGCAGATTCTTAATGTTTCCGGCAACAGAATTTATCATTTCAACGACATAAGAAATTTAACAAAATTACAAGTTCTTGAAGCTAAATATAATTTACTTAAAAGTATTAAAGATTTAATTGATTCAATTAAAAATCTGCCATATTTACAAGAATTATTTCTGCAAGGGAATCCAGTGACCACAATATTCAGATATAGAGCAAATATAATAGGAAATCATGATAAATTAGGTATGCATATTGTAATTGAAATGTAGTATTTTTTTTAATAATTATGCGTGTAAATAATTTTATTTTAGCACTTCTGGACGGAAAGATAGTTAGCGAAAATAGTAGAAATTTTATGAAAAAATTAAAAATTGAAAAACAATTACAAGAAACGAAGAAAAAATTTAAAATAATAGAAGGTAGGGTTTTATGAAGAATTATTTTTTCAAAATGTTAAAAATTAAAAAATTTATCATCAAAGTCAAATTTTCCCGCTTGATATATCGCTTGACAACATCAGTGAAAAATATTAAAGCGGTAGTCGCCCAAATTAGGATACCATCGGTATAATTTTAATAAAAATAGTGTTTTAAATATTTTTTTATATAACAAGGTTGTTCAAATACATCACCTGTACTGAAGCAGTCAACTTCGAAAGCAGTGGTATCTCAACATGTTGGTTCCGAATTATTTCCATTATCAAATACATCTACAATGCAATTTCAATCTTGGAAAGCAAGTAAATGCCAATTTTTAACGAATATTATGAAAATTCAATTATTAAATGATGAATCTATATGAGTATAATTTACAGGTATAAATACATTACCCAGACCATTTTGGATAAGTTTTTCTAAATCAAAGTGTGAATATAGCCGACAACTTACGCTTCCGTTTATTTAACATTAAAAGTTGCACTAAAAAGAAATTTAAACAGAAAACAAATATTTTTAAAAATTATTTTATTTCAATTTGTTCACACAGTTTCACTTGCAGTAAGTGATAATTTATAAAATATCATTTTCCAATTCGCTACAATCACAATGTATTTAATACATTGATAAATAATTTTATGATTTACACTCAAGTACTTGCAATAATAAATTTTTAAACACCAAATCTTTATAATAATAGCCATAATACAGTGGCACAAAAAATATCTTAGTATAAAAATTTCAATTTGATAGAAAACAGTATAAAAAAGTAATGTGTCAAAATATTAAAAGAATATTTTATAAACAGATTTTCATATAAAACAATCACTGCAAGTTTAAACTACATATGCTATAATGTGATTAAAACGGATGAAATAACTTATGTTTTAAATGTGTATAGCTTTGATTAATAATGATAATATAGATACCTAATAATCTTTACTCTACCAGTGAGAAATAAATTCGATACAACTTTTTTTTATTTTTAAGAATTAAAAAACGCAAATTTCTAAAGTACAAATTCACTAGAATTTTTCTTACTAGAAAAGTATGTGAATATAATTACATGATTGCAAATTAAAATTCTTAGAGATAGTTACCAATTACCAAAAAACAAATTTTAATAAGTGTATATAAATATTTCACAAAATAAAATTAAAATGTTATTAATACATACATGGTTCGTTGTTAATGTATAAATCTATAGATTTCTCTAAATTACTAATGTTAAATGAAATATAAAAAATACGTTTTTGAATAAGACAGTTAAATTTAATTTCTAACTATGTAAAAAAGCATGGAACATATAACTTTTTGAAAGCATATAATTTGGAGTTAAACAGGGAGCTGGTCAGTTAACTAGTTTAGAACTAGTTGACGTAGTATATAATCCTATATATTGATCAAAGCTACCTTGAATTTTTAAGATAGATAACAATTTACTTTCAGTATTGATAAAAAAAACTCGACAGACCAAGAGTGTATAAAAGTTACATTATTATTATTATTATTATTATTATTGTTATGAATAAAAATAGAAAAGTACTCATCTGCTCCTCCTAATTAATTCAGGGATACGAGCTGTTATTATTTAGGCGAAACCCAGAAGAATCCAAGTTAATGAAACATTGTTTCTTGTAGACATAAAAAGCTACGTGCTATTGCTAAATTTAGACATCATATACGCCGACCAAAGCATCGTTGCTCTTGGCATGTGATATAATTATATAAATTATTAATCTACTTTCAATAATCATCTCATTAAAACACACAAACTATTAAAATCGCGACAAAGCTTTTGTCATTTTTATAGATTTACATATCTTTGATCCTTCGAAAGCTGTCTCGATTTTAATTGCTTGTTTCGTAAGTAGATCTATAGTTCATTATACGTATAGGTACATAATATATTAATATTTTTATCCAGTTGGCATATAGTTATAGTTTGCTTAACATAATAAAATATCCTCTAATGTACTTGTTTCGTACTATACAGGTAATATTGCGACAAAGCTATAATATGTATTTTACTGTGAACATTAATAACATGACAAAAGTGTTGAATAAACTGTATTTTATACAAAAATTATTCCTCATTGAGATTTTTACATCAGAAAAGAACTTTTTTTTTATTCTTAGTCAAGCCCTCTGTCTTTAATACCAGTTTTACACGATCTACGTGTTTGCTTATTTTATTATGCTTCTTTCTGTTTTTAACTTGTTTATTTCAATAAAAAAGCAATTTATCAATTGCAATCAATTGCGATCAAATATTTTAATCGATCAATTTAATAATAAGAGCAAAATACAGTGCTCATACCTGAATGTAATCAGTCTGGTACATACAATTTGTACAAAACACCTAATTTTAGTTTTATAGGTTTAAGTAAAAAAAATATACAAACTTACTAGATTAATTGTTTAGAAAAAGTTATTACATAAGACAGAGTGTTCGACTTTCATTTCAAATAATGTTTGTGTCCTTATTGAGCTGTTTGTTGCTGAATTTCTATTTTTTCTACTGTCATATCAGGATTCATTGCAGTTGCTTGTTGAATCGCTTCGGCCAGGGCCTTATCGTGATCGACAGGGTCACCATCAGACTGTATCGTTATTTTCTGTTCGACTCTCGTTTCCACAACTCCATCTCGTTCCGTTTTGTACTAAAAATAAAAGTTTAGAAAAATTATACAAACATCTTTTAAAACAATAAATTAAGTATTATTCATAATCCTAACCGTAATCGTCTCAACGGTGCGCGTTTTACTGGAAATCGTTTGAGAACTGACGATTTCTCCTTTCGCAGTATAATTTCCATCCTCACTCTCAAGAGCTACTTTTCTTGTCTCCGTAGCTACAACTGGTACTGTAGTTGTTGTAGTAACATTATTTTCTGGTTCACCAGCAAAGACGTGAGATTCAGTTGCAACTATACCAGCTGGATCACCCTTTAAAACAATAATAATTATTATTATTATATCTTTTTATAATATGAGAATTATTTTATTTTCATTAGTTTTCCAATAATTATTCTGATGTCCACGTTTAGAATTATTATAAGACCTGTTTAATTTTAATATCAATTAATATACTATAATACTAATTCCACATGCATTTTAATTCATTTCACTAACAAAGCCAAATACATCCGTCCGTCGTACAACACTTGTGCAGTAATGGTAAAAATTACCATGCATCTTGGCCACGAATCCCTATATGCGTCTCTAAATTTTGTTACATAACTTTAAAGTAGTAAAGTGTACAGTAACACTTTGTTCAGCCCTCCCTCCTCTTACCTAAGCTAGGTTTAAAAAAATTTAAGTCTACATTGGAATCTGCACGGAAAAATTTTTGGTGCATCAGATGCGCAATCTACGGTAGAACTGTTGTACTATGGGTTGAGGGCAACTGTTATCCTGATTTGGTGCGTCAGAAGGACATCAGACGCACTGTAGGGGACATAGGTTGCACCAAACCGGGATAACTGATGTCCGTTTTTGAAGTATAAAATTTTTTTAACTAACCAGTACAACCGGTGCACTAAAATTTTTTCCGTGTGGATCGGTGAGACTTTTCGGGGGTGGCTTCTCACCGATCAAGCGGATTGGTCGACACTTAGTCCCCACTACGCCTGCCACCTTTCCTCGCCCACAAACGTAGTCTCACCGATCCAGATTCCAGTGTATGTTTAATTTTTGATAAATTTGTTGAAACAAATACGTAACTAACAATGTACACGGAGAGAAGAGTATAGTGGTTCATACTTAACCTTCAGTCATGGTTACTAAACAATATAGTGACTTTTTCGATTAACAAAACAAACTGTCAGATGCACTAAACGTCCGTTTAGTTATCACGATTACTCACTTGTTAAGTAACGTGCACGGAATAAACTGTCATCTCTACAACTTTGTTTATAATTTATTTAAATATGCATTAACGGTTAACGTCTTATAATTCAATAAAAATATCGCATTTGTATTGTTAATAATATTTTCATATTTTATATTCAGTATTTTTCCAAGATTTTGTTATATGGTTATCATGGTGCAAATCGTCAAAAAGAATTTTATAAAAAATACGGATTGGTGGGTTTGAAATATTAAATTAGTATAAAAAGTATTTTATATAATACTTTAGGAGAATGAAAAGCTTACAGGATTTATTTTCATAGTTTCTAGAAAATATATTTATTATCTTCAAATAAAAAGTAAAGAATAAAAATTTATAATCGTGACAATATCGTAAAAAATATTATAACATAAATAAGTATAGTAAGTTTTGAAAAATATTGATTTTTTAAACAATTTTTTATTTTTATTTCGTTAAAAGAATCTTTTATTACACAATTTGCAATTTGTTTCAAATCTGTGCGTTTATTCGTCAAAAAGATAAATTTTTAACTTTGTTTTAAATAATCTCGAAAAGTTAATGAAATAAGCGAAATATTTTTTAATATTATGTTTCAGAAGGGTTCAAATATTATAGAAAAAATTTCGCATACTGATAGGATTTTTATTGAATAAGGTATCAAAGTAGACCGTTGTCAAAATGGTGTAAAAAACCATGTATTTTTTATCTTCTAAAATCCATAAGTGATGCAAAAATTTTTTCGTCTTTTTGCAATTTCGTATAGTAATGTAGGAATAGTGTAGCTACTGACTCCTAGTTGTCTCAATGAAATGCGATTTTTTTTGCCTGAGTTATAAGCATTTAAAGACAGGGGTCTATACTTTTTGGACCGATAGTAGTAACCTATATACTGAATATTCATTTCTCATAACACAATTTTGCTTACTAAACGCGTAATAGTCGAATGCACTATAACTCTTCTCTCCGTGTACGTCCGCATAAAAAGGGACCACTTTGTCGATTTTATTTTAGGAAATAGTCGCAATTTTCTAAAAGTGGTTCAGATTTTTTATTAATTTTATTGTTGAAAATCAAACTACAAAGTTTTTTACGTAAAATTATACTGGCACACAAAAAAAATTTCGATTGCATGGACTGCCATGTGGTAGTTTCTCTTCCTTAATATGTATCTAAAGAGAAAAACGTAGTCCGACCTCAAAATTAGTTCGTGTTCTCTTTTTCCAGGCATGGTGGAGGGGGGAGGGTGATTTTTGAGAAATTGATTTCTATTGGAATTTACTTAATTTCTATATCTAAAACTGAATTTTTACTTCTCCTGAATGTTGATTTGGATTCAGTGACTTTAATAACATAAAAATTGGATATATAAAAAAAATTAAAAATGGTGGATTTTTTCAAAAAATTGTTCGGATTTCCTTGAAACTTGCTACTTGGGGGTTTTTGGGGTCGTTGGTTACAAACATAATGTTCGTTTATTAAAATTCAAAATGTCGGATCCAATTTGTCGGAAAAAAAAATTTTTTGAAATGAATGAAATTGATTGAAACTTGTTACTCGGTGGGGGTTTTCGAGGTCGCTGGATACGCATCTGCAATGTTAGATTTAAAAAATTCAAAATAGCGTATCCAATACGGCTTACAATGAAATTGATTTCAGATTTTTTTGGTTCTTGTTACTTAGGTGTTTCCTCGAGTCGCTAATTTGAAATCTGAATTTTTCATAATCCAGAAATGATTTACTAGAATTTAATCGCATTTCTTTGATAATACAATCACAAGTTATTTTTGACCTGTAAAACTTTAGTTTCCGTATTTATTTATTTTCTTTTTTTTTATTTTTGCGACAAGAACACCTCCCCGTGGTGTTGGCGGTCAGTTTGAGAAAGCAGGACCGTAGGCGTAGTCATCATTCAACCGCAATGATTTGCACGATTAAAATTAAAAAATCGGTTTTTTTGTCCGACATTTTGAATTTTTATAATGTAACCAACGACCCCAAAAACCCCCAAGTAGCAAGTTTCAAGGAAATCCGAACAATTTTTTGAAAAAAAACACCATTTTTAATTTTTTTTATATATCCAATTTTTATGTTATTAAAGTCACTGAATCCAAATCAACATTCACTCTCTAAATTTGAATCAGCGATAAGTATACCACTGGTACCAATCAGCGGATATACGCTGAAAAATCAGTGAAATTTCACTAATTCATCAGTGCATATAAGCTGATTGGAATCAGTGGTATACTTATAGCTGAGAATCAGCGAGATTCCGCTGATTCAAATTTAGAGAGCAGGAGAAGCAAAAATTCAGTTTTAGATATAGAAATTAAGTAAATTCCAATAGAAATCAATTTCTCAAACATCACCCCCCCCCCCACCATGCCTGTAAATCCATAAGGTTTTTCAATTCGCCCTCCCTCCACCTGTCCAGGGGCCTTACTATTCCAAGCAAATAAGTAAGTTCTTTGATCCGCGTGTACAAATTTTATTTTTCAAACAAGTTTGAACAATTTTTAATTGAACATTCATAGTCGTATTTAGGCATAAAGGGTGTATGGTAGAGTTTAAAAATAAAGTGCATAAGTACTTGTTGCAAAATACTCTTTAAATAATCTTACCTTTTCAGAAGTTGCTATATTTGTTTATATACAGGGTGTTCCAAAAGTATGGAAACTTGCAAATATCTCAAAAAGTACGCATTTTCGTCAAAAATATTCAAAACAAAAGTTGTTCCCAAAAGAAAGATCTACATTTTTGAAGCCAAAAAATTGGTCCCGGAACCCAACAGTGAAAAAAGAAGTGTCACGAAAATGCGTACTTTTCGAGATATTTGCAAGTTTCCATAATTTTGGAACACCCTGTATACGTAACACCACATTGTGCGAAATAAATTATCATGAACCTCTAATTTCGTTTAAAAAAACAATATATCCCACACAGCACAAGATATTTCGTAAACCTTGCCTGACCCAAAATTTACAAGTTTATCAATATTGAAATTATTGATGTTCAAGCAACATTAATGCAAGTACTAAAATGTTTGCATGTGAAGAAATATTGACGCAAAACTTGAGGGAATATTTCATTTAAATATTTAGGATATTTTCAACGTTAGATAATAATGCGCACTGGTCGATCTTGGTTTCCACGGCCTGTACAGTTGCGCAGTAATGTTTAATTTTCTGAAATACTACAGCTGCCAAACGTGACACAAAATTTTAATTGATTGCAAATAAATTTTTTTTTAATTTTTGCGAAATATTTCCTGAATATTGCACGGTAACTTCAGGCAATATTGCGAAATTTGCAGGGCTAGAATCAGGCAAGATTTTTAAATGTATATGTCGAAGGTCATCACTGCAAAAAGAAGTATCTTAATATATAAGATATTTTGGTAGTCATTTTTAAGATGTTTTGCTAGTAACTTCTTAGTTATTTGAAATATCTTATTTTAAGATGTTTATAGTATCTTTGCCAAAGTGCTTTACATATTTTTGATGAAAAAAATTTTGAGGTTAACTATGGCCTCTTATGTAAGATGCTTAATGTATTTTATATTTTAGTAACTTCAAATTCTGACGTATCTTAGAATTTACAAGCATCTTTTTTCTAAACATCTTATGACTCTACAAATATCTTAATTCAAGTTACTTATAGAAACTTACCGAAGTAACTTACATTTTAAGATGGAAGAAATATTTTAATTCTTCTTAAAACGCAAAAAGCATCTTAAATATTAATAAGATACTTTACAAAATATCTTTTTTTAAGATGGAAGATACGATTTTTCCATATTACATCTTATTGTAAAATACCATAAGTCACTTATTTTTGCAGTGAGTAGAACCAAAATTTAATTTATTTTCTACTAGCCGGACAGTAGCCGAGGAACTCGCTGTTGACTACTAGCCTGACCATTTTTAGGCCAGTAGGAAAAACATTTTCTAATTATTACATGTTACATGTTATTTAAAAAGTAATTTATTTAAATTGAACCTCCAATTCTATAACTCGTTTAGCGCTCGGCCGGACGCTCTATTGGTAGTCGGTTAGCAGTGAGCGTCAATGGCTCCCTCGCTGCTACCCGACTACCAATAGAGTGTCCGACCGAGCGCTAAACGAGTTACAGAATTGGGAGGTTCAATTCTATTCAATTGATTTTATTTGTTGAAACACGCAGAACTTAAGTGGCAGCGAGAATTGCACAACATGTTCGCCACCATGAATATCAAGGGATCACTTGGGTTTTTTCTTTTTAAAATTACGAGCGAGTTTCCACCAATTTTTACAAGCTCATACGTTTTAAAATAATGACTTTTTTCCCGTTTTGAACTTCACTTTCCGAAAGACATTTAATGACACTTAATTCGTGCACCTTATACCATACGAAATTATTACTAGTCGTATATAAATTCGATTTCGTCTACTGGCCGGCCACTAGAAAATCGGCCAGGCCAGTAGAAAAAAATTAAATTTCTTTCTACTGGCCTTCGACATATATATTCTTAAAGAAATATGTTAGGCTTCCTTCATTAATACGATTCTTAGGAATAATTAATAATGTATTGCATTTATGAAAATATGTAACAATTAACAATAATTTTTGTTAAATGAATTGTTAAAAACAAGCGATCCGGGATTACCTGATAGTATTTATTGTAGAAAGCCTGATGATCATCGTCAAGATCAATGGGCGTACCTGAGTTCCCACTGCTTGAGCTTGATGTACTGTGCCGCCGTGAGTATAGCTACGCATGCAACGGTTAATCAAGCAGCAGAAATTAATCATAAATAAAAGAAATTTCTTTATTTTGACATAAAAATATATTAAAACATTGTTATAAAAAATATTATAATTAGAAGATTAATTTTTGTTGATTAGTATAGTATATGTATTATATATACATATATGCAACATTAAACTATAAAAATTAATTTTGTTTTATATTAGATTGAATAAGCGATTAATTATTTCATTGTCAAATACTTTTGAATAATTGTGTTACACAAGTGAAAGCAATGTAATTTTCAAGTGTGATGTAAAAAAAACTTTTAGCTTTTATTAAGCAACTCTACGCCCAAAGACAATAAATACAATTAAACTTTTTGAAAGTAAAAATTGTATTAGCAATGAATTGAGGATCCCGATTCTATAAGGCCTTCTACGCTTGAGGCAGCCGCCTTGCGACCAGTCTGGTGGTCCAAAAATGGAAACAAATAAAATTCAAAGTTAAAATTTTTTAAAAACGCTTTCCTGTAGGAAATGAAAATCCGCACCTTCTTTTCCTTTGAGATTTTTTTATAAAACGAATATTAAAATTAATAAAGGCAAAAAAAGTAGATGACATTTCTTATGTTCAAATTAATCATATATATATGATCCCACTTGAGGATTTTCAATATGATTTCATGTCAGATTATTTGTAATAATTTTTTATTCAAGAATCGAAAAAAGATTTGATGTATGATTTGATATAGGAAAATTTCTGGTTAAGGATTGAGTAATGAATTTTGGTATGTTTTTTAGTGAGAAAACACGAAGGAAATTGAAATAAGAAATTGAAGGAAAAAATTGTAGGATTTCACATAGAAATTTACATAATTTATTACCTAAGAATACGTTTATAAGAATTTACATCGAATCCTACTTCAAATCATGTCTTAATTTCCTATATGATTTTTCATAGGATCCTATATAGTTTCTTACATGACACATAGGATTTTATGTGGATTTTAATATATGAATTTATGTGAGATCCTATATAAGATCCTATATGAGAATTTTCAGTAGTCGTAAAAAATTTGTCTACTTTTTTTGCCTTCATTAATTTTAATATTCGTTTTATAAAAAAATCTCAAAGGAAAATAGGTGCGGATTTTTATTTTTTAAGGGATAGCGTTTTTAAAAAATCTTAATTTTGAATTTTATTTTTTTCCATTTTTGGACCACCTGACTGGTTGCAAGGCGGCTGCCTCAAGCGTAGAGCGCCTTATAGAATCGGGGTCCTCAATATTGTACTGAAGTGATTCAGTACCTTGATTCACACCACAATTCACTAATAAATAAAATTTATTTTGTGGAGTTTAATATTAGACAGACAAAATAATTAGAAAATAATATAAACAGAAATTATTATTAGAGTAGAGTGGGGTGAAAAAGATATTTAAGTCTTATACTAAAACTACTCAACTATTTTATCAGCCATTTAAAATATATGACTTCAATGGGATGCATGATTATGTTCTAAAAATCATTAGTTAGAATTTTCAATTTATGGAATTTCATTGTCATAATTATTTTTGAGCCGAATTTTTATTTGTTCAAATTTTTATTTGATCGAATTTTTATTTAACATAATAGACATTTTAAAGAACTTTTATTGGGTACAATTTCATTGCATAAAATTTTCTTTCAGATGAATTTTCATTTGTTCGAATTATTATTTTATATAATTTCCATATAACAGATTTTTCATACTACAGAATTTTACTTAACCTACGAATCATTTAGAAGAATTTCTAATTCATAGAAATTTCATTTGTCCGAAATTGCAAATGACCAAACGAACAATCGACAGAAAGATTTCGGTGCAATTTTTAAAAGTACACTAAAACGTCAATCGAGAACAGACGAATGTGCAGTGCTGTTCTCGATTGACGCGATCTTTAACGCTCGAAAATAAAAACACTCAGGGCCGTATGAAGGGCCTTACGCAACAATGTGAATTCTATCTAGGGGATTTTCACTAGTGGGGCACTGAATCCACCTTAAATTTAAAAATCACAAGTACGACTTTGGCGTCAGTCATAACCTAAATTCTACCCGCTTCCCCACTTCCCTTCAAGTGTTCCCTTGCTCTGTTCTCGACTGACGTGTTCTCGATTGACGTTCTAGTGTAACCGCAATCACAATTTTTGATTGGTTGATTTTTAAGAATCGCGCCGAAATCTTTCTGTCGATTGTTTGTTCGGCCATTTGCAATTTCGGACAAATGAAAATTCTATCAATTAGAAATTCTGTTTAATGATTTGTCGGTGAAATAAAAATTCTGTAGTAATTGAAGCCAATGGAAATCTTAAAAATGTTTCAATTACGGCGAGGGAAAAAATTTGATCTCAAATAATTAAATTAATAATTGTTTAAATGTGAATCTTTATTAGTAATTGTATCAAAAAAAATTAAAATAATTTTTTTAAATTGTTTTGCAACAGTTATATTATATATAAGAGTAATAATAGTTATTTTTTATGAACACGCCGTAATTGATGCACTTACCCTACCTATTTTATGATGTATAAAGTAAAAAAGTGTCTTTCTTACCACACTCTACTCTAATTTATTACTATTTCATAAAAATTAAAACTACACTGGAACGTCGGTTATACGGAAACTACACTGAAAAAGGTTCGGCGGAACAGTTAAGACACTCATAGATGAGCGGTGTTATAAATGTCCGCCAACAGACATCTTTGATAAGGGGGCGCGCACGTTAAGGGACTACGTCGATGAGTCCCCAGGCGCGAGTAACCCATGCAGATGATAAGTTGAATCTTGATTCTAGCTTGGACCCCCATCGTCTGTAACTCAGACTCAGACTAAAATCAGCCTTACCACACTATCGTTCATTATTGGTTCGATCTGCCTCTAATAAGTGTGCGAGATTTTAATTCTTATAGCTTAAGCGTTTATACACTGAGAAAAAAAAATTTAGTCTTTGCAACAAAATTGTTTGATTAGGCAATTTTGGTTCTTGTAACCAAATTTTGGTTGGCTGAAACAAAGTTGTAGAGTTATCTCAACCAAACATTTGGTTAGGCCAACAAAATTATTTGGTTGAACATTTTTAAATTCCAACCAAAATTTGGTTACAACAACAAAATAATTTGGTTAACATAACAAAATAGTTTGGCCTAATAAACCAAATGATGGTTTGTTGTCCTAACCAAAATTTGGTTGCGACAACCAAATAATTTGATTCGCTCTCAGTTCATAGCTTAAGAGAACAGTTAGTTTAAATCTCTCACAAGGATGGGTAGTCCAGTGGTCAGTGCCCCCGATCTTCAGTTTTAAAACAGAGGTTTGATCCCAGACGGAGATGAGATTTTTCAAAGTCCACAAATATTTCAATTGGATAAATATAAATTCAATGTTAAATTGATAATAAATAAATAATGAAATAAATAAAAATGATAAAAAGAAAAGAAATAAGGTAGAATAAAATTTTTAATTTTACAAAAAAAACTGTTTGTTTGATTAACCAAACATTTTTGTTGACCTAATAAAAAAAATTTGGTTGAGCTAACCAAACATTTTTGTTATGCCAACAAAAAACACTCAAACAAATTTTTTAGTTGACTCAAACAAATAGTTTGGTTGCTTAAATACCAACAAAATTTTGTTGTTGGCCCAACCAAATTTTGGTTGCTCTGACTAAACATTTTTCTCAGTGTATGTTAAAAAAATTTTAATTAAAGTTATAAGGTAATATAATAATCATTTTTATTATTCTTTAATATTAACAATCTAAATTAAACTGTAGTATTAATAATAAATACTATTATATTGTTCATAGACTTTTGTATTATTGTTAATTGTAATTGTATTATTATTCTTAATAACAATCTAATACAGTAATAATATTAATATATTATTAATAAATAGTTAACGATTTGTTCGTAACAATGGAACAGGATTGACCAAGCTAGAATCAGAATTCCCTTCAGATTGATTTAGTCTTGGGCACCAATGTTGAACCAAGATTTTTAACTAGGTACAAGTTATACTAATATTAATGGAATGCAATTAAAATTAATATTTATTATTATTATGAAGTAAATTATTGTGAAATTTAAATTATATAAAAAACTTGCAAATCTAAAAATAAACTTTTTGAAAAATACTTATATAACAGAACAAACACATACACGTAGTAATATAAGGCTGTTCATGTCTCAAAAATGCTTTAAACATTGATCAATCATTAGGGAAGATTGTAAATTAAAATTGATTTTTTATTTTCTCATTTAATTACCTGGTCTCCGGCAAGAATGTGACTCGTTGTTTTTACTTCCTGCGTTACTGTTCGTTGCTCTTGTCGGGTTGCACTTGTTGCCGTTGTATGGGCTACTGTTTTTTCTTCAACCTAATGTAACATACTAATGATAACAAGCTGCTACATTAAATAAATGTTTTTTCAAATATATATAATGTCAATCGAGGACATGAGGCTATTGATAAATTCACATAATATTATGAGTATCTCCAAGTTGTGAAATTGTAAACAATGAATACAAATTTTTTCTCATTGACTATATCAAACTGTTGAATCTTGTTCAATTTGAAATTACTGCGATCTACACGTATGTACCATCAAATAAAATATGAACAGTAGCGATAAAGAAGAAACGCGCCATTTTAACCAGTTATCAAACGACAACCAAAAGTAACAGGCGCGACTAAAATATATATTGTTCTGATGTTTTTGGTTGGTTGGATCATAATATATATAGTATGATGTCAAGTTTTTTATAAAAAAGTACACATTTTTAAGCTTCATAATTTTCTATTTACATAAAGCTTTTCGCCTAAAAATATTAGGCCTCTTCAGAAGTAAAAACTTTTTTGGTTTTCCTTCGCACATGGATTCCTTCCATCATTTTTTAAAATGACAAAAAAAATGATTATAATGAATGAAAAAACATTCATATTGGCTACCAATAATTGGCAACGGCGTGATCATCCCAAGATTTTACCATTCACGGTCAAATATTGGGTGCCAATAGTTTTACCAAGAAAAAAATATTGGCACAAATTAATAAGCACAGTTAAAAAATGTAAAACTGAAGAAATAAGTTATTCTTAATATAGTCTTTTCAAATTTATAATTGACATATCGACGCCTCCCGTTGATAAGATGCCCGTTAATTTGTCAGAATAATAAAATGCCAACTCGAGCTCAGTTCAATATGAAGCTAGTTCAATTGTCAAAATAATAAAAGGCTAACTCAGTTTCCGTATAATATAATCCTATCTCGCATTAAATTCGAATTCAAGTCTTCGTAAATTAAAAAAGAAGTTTAAGTCGATCAGAATACTAATTCATACTTTTTAATGATTAATTAGTGATTAACAATTATTAATAAAATAAGAAATAGAATAAAAAACAAATAATAAAATAAATGAAAATAAAAAATATTATTAAAAAAGAAAAAAATTAATTTAGCCTTGAATTATTTATTACTAATATTATTTTTTTTATTGTAATTTTGTTATTAACTTTTTTATTTTGTTAATCATTAATTAATCATTACAAAATATTAAATAATATTCCGATCGATTTAAAAATATTCAAGTTTTCGTAAAATAAAAAATTTTTAAATCGATCGGAATATTATTTAATATTTTGTAATGATTAATTAATGATTAACAAAATAAAAAAGTTAATAACAAAATTACAATAAAAAAAATAATATTAGTAATAAATAATTCAAGGCTAAATTAATTTTTTTCTTTTTTAATAATATTTTTTATTTTCATTTATTTTATTATTTGTTTTTTATTCTATTTCTTATTTTATTAATAATTGTTAATCACTAATTAATCATTAAAAAGTATGAATTAGTATTCTGATCGACTTAAACTTCTTTTTTAATTTACGAAGACTTGAATTCGAATTTAATGCGAGATAGGATTATATTATACGGAAACTGAGTTAGCCTTTTATTATTTTGACAATTGAACTAGCTTCATATTGAACTGAGCTCGAGTTGGCATTTTATTATTCTGACAAATGAACGGTCATCTTATCAACGGGAGGCGTCGATATGTCAAAGTCTGACCAATTCTGAGAAACTAACACCTATGGCCGGTTTACCCACATGGCCGGTTTGCCCCAGTCTCCCCTATATGTATATATTTTTTTAAATTAATCACTGTAATTTTACCAAAATGGTAAAAATAAGGTATACAATTACCTGGTATTATATTTCGATTTACCATTTTCACAAAAAAAAAAAATAAAAAAAAATAATGAAAGATTTGTATTTTTTATTCTAAAAAGCCGTTCGCAAAAATTGTTTACATTTCCCAAATTGGACATACCCTTTTGACTTAAATAACAAAAATCTAGTCATTTTATCCATAGTTATTAACGTTAGTAGAATTAAAAATAAAAAAAGATTTCAAAATCTTTTACTGAATAATCATTATGTAATCTTTAAATTATCATAATTTGCTTAAAGTATACATTTAAAAACGCATCGATTGACCTATTTGCAAAACTTATATAAATCTGAAATTAAAAATTTATTGACATTTTAAAAATTCAAATTTTTTTAAAAAACTAGAATTTGTGAGAGTTTTAGTTTTTACTTCTTGTTTAAGGTATTTCTCCGGCAGATCGATTTTCGATTTCGAACTGAGAAATCTGGGTTCAAAGTTGCACTAGTTAACATAGGATTCCTAATCTGAACATGCAAAACTCACACATTTTATTGAATTATTTAAAAAGTTATCGATAGATTTTTTTTAAAAACAAGTATATTGTAGAATGGAATTAATAGAATAATATGAAAAAAGTTTTAGTAGGAGTATCCATGCTAATTTTTGAATTACGACCACTGGAGCCGGAGATATACCTTAAATTCTAATGTCGCACCATTATACGTTACCTACATATGTGACGCTCCACAAGTGAAGGGACCTTACGTCAAAAAAAGTTTTATCTTGATAAAAAGTTTCTTTTTAATTAGGTAAAATAAAAATTAGTTTTTTTTTTAATTTTAGAAAGTACTGGAGAAGTTTATTGTATTAAGAGTTGACTCCCTGTGAAATTTCACTTCAAAAATTACAAACATAATCTAAAATGTTAAAGGTGTTAAAGTTTATCAATCTTCCAAGTCAATTGTAATATTTAAAAAAAAAGGAAAATAAAAATAAAACACGATCCCTTTTCTTAACGTTTTGACAGCACAGCTGTCCTCATTAGAAACGAAAAAAGAAAGTTTGTGACTTCTGTTCAGTGTTCACTGTCAAACAGTTTGTCAGTGAACACTGAACACCCAAGCAGCACGGTATATCCGCTGAATATCCCTTAAATACCACCGTGGAATATTGCCATGATCTTTCAGGAAAATCAAAATGTCCGCATCATGGGAATATTCCACAGTGACATTGAGGGTAATATTAAAGGAATATTCCAGTGATACTGAGGGAATATTCCACGGTTATATTGAATTTTTTTTTAAGTGTTGAAATAATAGAAATGTGTTATAAATTGTTATTTGAATAAGCAGGAAGATTAAAAACACATTTTAAAAAAAATTCAATGTAACCGTGGAATATTCCCTCAATATCACTGGAATATTTCCACAATATCACCTAAATATCCCCTTAATGTCACTGGAATATTCCATGAATGTCACCGAGGAATATTCCCTCAATGTCACTGGAATATACCCTGAATGTCACTATGGAATATTCCCATGATGCGGACATTTTGATTTTCCCAGAAGATAATGAGAATATTCCACTGTGGTATTCAACGGATATTCAGGGAATATACCGTGCAGAAGTCACGGACTTTCTTTTTTCGTTTCTGATGAGGACAATTGACTTGTAAGATTGATAAACTTTAACACCTTTAATATACACTCACCAAGTGATAAATTCAATATTATTGAAATAATCTAAAATGTTTTAGATGTCAGGTCCCTTCTCTCGTGGAGTAACACATGTTTTAAAACTGCATCAATTTAATTTTTTAAGTTAAATTTACCTTTGTAACGTGATATCATTATGAAACTTTTATGCTTCATAAATAATGAAAATTGTCATGAGGATGCAAAAGATTTCGTAAAATGAACATAAAAATTCATATACTTTAACTTAGCGGTTTATAAAATATTTATAAACCATATATTTTTTTCCGTATATCCGAAACACTACAGTAATGTACATATATATGTTACCGGTAAAACCCGAAGTCATTTCACGAAATACCTAGGCAAATCCGGAAATACCTAACAGTGGTCAGGAACTTCAAGTTTTACCTGTAAATTTTAGGCATTTCGTAGATTATCTAATAGTCATTTCGCGAAATATATCATTTAAAAATAGTTAAGGGGAAGCGCGATTTTGTTTCCAAACCAATTTTGCATGATGAAATGAAAGTGGATTTGATTGATTTATAATTGCGACACAGCATGTCTAACACTGATGGACAAGGATTTCCCCGATGTTATTGTCAATGTCAAACACCGCGTAAAACAAAGGAGATGCCTTTGCAAAAAGAAAGGCGTGCTTTGTAATTCTAAATGTCACTTTTTAATTACTAAATATACTTATATGTTAAATATTATGTTCGAAGTAAACTTTTTAATCACTTTTCCAATTTACTCAAAGCGGCGTGGTTATTTTGCGACTTCGGGTTTTACCAGTAACATATAACTGAACATAACAAAATTAAAAACAATCGTGTTGATATTCCATTTTAATAAATATATATCTATTGAAAAAGAATGTTAGAAATATACTGACCTGGCTGGTTTTTTTATTTTTTCCCAAATCTTCATGCATGGTTGCAGTACGGGTTGTAACTGCAGTAGCCGTCATGTATGGTGGTTTACCATCATCTGGCGTTGCCTCTGCCTGAATATAACTACTGGTAAACTAGTGCTTTTTTAAATCAAAAATACTGTTTATGCAAAAAAAGGCTACTTTGAAAACTTTGAATAATTTTAAACTATATGTAATTATGGGGCGTTTCATAAGAGAATTATCTATGATGTCTCAGATTTTCCTCAACTTTTAGGTTTTGAGACATTTTGATACTAAATAAGTATGTAAATTTTGAATTAAAATTTTTAAATATTTTTAGTGATATTTGCATTAAAAATTATTGCTACAGTTTTTTTTTTCTTATAACTTTTGTTCTTTTGATCCTACAAAAAAAGTTCTAAATGTTTTCTACTCTAAAAATGATGAAATTTATGAAAAAAATGATTTAATTTTAATTAATTTGATTAAAAAATAAAATTTGATTTTGAATTTTCAACTTGTTCTTTCTGTTTCTCAACTCTGAAAAAATCATGAATGAAGTTCAATGTAATGAAGATTTTTGAAATTTTCAGTTTGGCATTATTATTTGTTTTCGAGATAAAACTCATTAAACATTGTAATGCATGGGCTCGGTGCGCAAAATGATCATTGTAACATCCATACTTGGGCCCTTCGAGAACCCGCACCGCATTGGGAGAACGAGTTGAAAAATGAGCCAAAAGTTTTAAACGTTCAAATGAAGAAAATATTTTTTTGAATCTATAAATTATTAGAAATTATAATGTCAATGTAAAATAAAACAGTAAATTCGAGGGGGAATTTACTAGTTAAAAACGTGTACACTTGACTACCGGTATTACACCTCATATTACCCTTATTACTAAGTTATTACACGTTATTACAGAGTATTACACATTATTACAGAGATATTACAGATTTTTTTGCGTTATTACAGCACCGTAATAACGCATTATTACACGGTATTACACGTTATTACACAAGTATTACAGGAAGAGTGTACACTTGACTACCTGAGTAAATTCCCCCTCGAGTAAATTAAACAAATATTAAATTAATAACTTCTTTTTAGATATTTAAAAAAATATTTTGTAATAAAATTCGTACTTAAAGAAGTTACAAAGAAAATTTTGTTAATTTGAACGTTCAATACTTTTGGCTCATGTTGAAAACTCAAAATCAAATTTTATTTTTTAATCAAATTAATTAAAATTTAATAATTTTTTTCATAAATTTCAACATTTTTAGCGTAAAAAACATTTGGAATGTTTTTTTATGATCAAAAGAACAAAAATTATAAGAAAAAGAAAAAAATGTTACATATGTTGATATAAATGCAGAATGCAAAACCGAAAGTTACTAGATTCTAAAGTTTCACCAAACGAACCTTAAGGGTAAAACCATTATATTTCGACTAAAGTCGTTGGTGACTAATTTTTAAAAATTATAAATTCTTTGCAGGAATGATTTTGATCATAGATGATAACCCGGCAACTATCCGCACCGGTGCTGGTAAACCAGAGGGGGAAACTTTTGTTTGGCGAACAAGGATGAGAACGCAAATAATCTTTAAGATTCGTTTGGTAAAACTTTAGAATCTATTAACTTTTGGTTTTGCATTCTGCATTTACATTAACATGTAACTTCACCCTTGTTTGAGGTGCTTTTATACCTCCATTATTTTGATAAAGCAATCGGCTGAATTGAATTTTCACGGTTGTATTACTGAATTTGATTGGCTCTGACTAATATTCCATTTCCACCGTAAAAATTGAATATTTTTAGAGCCAATCAAATTCAGTGATTCTCAGTGAAAATTCAATCCAGCCGATTGCTTGACCAAAATACTGGAGGTATAAAAGCACCTTTAGCATCAAAATGTCTCTCAAAACCTAAAAGTTAAGGAAAATCTGAAACTCCCCTTATTTACATTGTTCAAGAATCAAATATCTTTTTCATGATTGTTTAGAATAAATAAAATTTATTGTATATACATAAAAAAATTTTTAATAACTAGGTATAAACTAACTGACCTGTCCCAAATATTACAGTAATATTCACGAAGTAGTATAAGGAGACCCCACAAAGTTGAAGCCGGTTTCCCTGTCCCTCTTAAAATTAACAGAGGTGTTGAACTACATATATCTATATATATATGTACACAGTATACGATATAGTGTGCGTCTTAGTTACAGAATTATAATATAATAATATTATTATAATATTATACGCTTATTTCAAATACATAACAATTTTTAGGTTTTTTATGATAAAACAGAAAAAGATAATAATTTTTAAGTGGTTTTTGAAATTTTTAGTAATATTACGTGCTACTTGGGGAAGGTCAGTTATTGATGATTCAATTTATTTAATTATTAAATTCCAAATTTTAGTATAAACTATTAATGAGTTTATGTTAAAACCGTACTTTTAAATATTTCAATTTTATTAAAAACCCATTAAACGAAAGAAAATAGGTGTGAATTTCGTAGTAAATCTAATGTCGTTAGACATCATGGTATTAATTTTGAAGGTTAGATAAATTTTAACTTGAAAAATTGAAAAACAAATTTTAAATCAATTTTATATATATTTCGACCATTTTTCTTTAGTGGTTTGTGAGAACACTATCTAAAATTATTTTGCTAATTACTTTTTTTCTTCATATTTTATAAACATCTATTAGATGACAATTGAATACCCGGATCAAATAACTCGACTCGACTCGAATTCAATTGTTTTAAAGTTTAGAATTCGTTAAATTTTGTAATATAAGTAAAAATATCAAGTATAGCAGTCTATGGACCGATGTTAGCTGTAAAGGCCTGGTGCAACTCGTCAAAATGTAAACAAACATGAAAATGTACGTAATTATTGACTAATTTGTGACTGCCTTTTTTAAATAAGAAATAAAAATTGTTCTTTGTCTATATGTGAAAATGGAAAATTCATCTACAAATCTAAAGTATCTCTATTTATTTGACTAATAATATGAATAATATTAATAATTATAATACAATTAAAATTACACTGAATTAGCAATTTTCTCAAGGTTACTAAAAAATGGCTATTTGATTATATCTGACGCACGGACGAAGAAGACCTAGGCGGGAAAAGAGTTGAGCGATTCGACGGTCAGATGTGGGAAGGGTAAAATAGCTAGTCTCGATAGTTGGAAAGGGTGAAAGTTTGAAATAATACATCTACCGGAAGACTGTGACTAGCTATTTCACCCCTTCCCACATGTGACTGTCGAATCTCTCAACTCTTCTCCCGCCTAGGTCTTTTTCATCCATGTGTCAGATATACTCAAATGGTTATTATTATACTTATTTGTTTATCAAATCAAAATATTAGTCAAACCTCATGGTATAACGCAATGGTAACGAGGGGGGAGGGGGTATGAAATGAATGAAAAATTGGTAACGTAGTTTACGGATGTCCCCTTAAACAATAGCTTAAATTTTGTAGATTTTGTATGCCAAATTGTAAAATGGCATCATCTTTAATAATTTAAAAGTTATTTAATGTAAAAAAAATAGTGCAGGTCGAATTGTGGTTAGCGACGTGAAGTTTTTGTAAATTAAATAACTTTCAAACCATTAAAAATGCCATTTTACAATTTGGTATACAAAATCTAAAAGAATTTTAAAAATGGTCAAAATATTTGAAAAATTGATTCAAAATTTGTTTTTCAATTTTATCTTTGATTCTAATAGAGTACATACTATGTACAAATAAATTATCTATTTTTATATTACAAAAATATGCAAAAAATATTATGAAAACGTAATATCCTCACCTTCAATATAATGTGTATGTATTAACTTTCGATATTAATTTTGTTAGGCTGAGTCCAGAATGATCTCCTTATGTTAACATAATACATCGAATACTCAAGAAATCTATTGCTCTCGTTATGAATTGTAGTTCTATATATACATATTACGTTAAAATAAGGAGCCTATTGTGGATTTAGTCTTATATTATATTTACTAAGACGTATAATTGTTAAAGAAGCATGCAACAAATGATAGTATAAAATATCAAGTCAATCAAAATAAAACATAAATTTTTAAGAAAGTATATAAAAACTACGATATATTCTAATTGAAAGTTTAAATAAAATTACTAATAACCTGCCGTCACTGTCTTCAACCCAATTAATCTGATAAAAATTTCTTAGAAAAATGAACGTGCTGCCCTCTTAAATATTGCATGTATATATAGATTATAGAATTCACTTTGTACTCGCTTTAAGATGTCAGCACGGTAATTTTTCTACGAAATACACTTAATTAATTTTTACATGTGAGTAGTTTGAGAATTGATTTAAAACTTACAAGTACATTCACTTGAGTAGCAATACATTAAGTACTACATAAAAGGCAGTTGAAGACAATCATGGCAGCTAGTTTAATATATGATATATATTCAAAAATGATGTGCAATTAAAAGAATTTTATCACCACAACCAATTAGTATCTCCCAATTTTGAAGATTTATGTCTTGAAAATCACCTTATTAACATGTGTATTGACCACGACTTGTCCACTTCCACCAGGTGTGAGATCCTCAACTTTTTCCTCGATATTTTGAGTCACTCCGTCTAAATCCTTGACTACTGAGTGTTTTGTTGTAGATTTGACAATCATTGGCGTTGTAACTGGAATAATTGCTTTCTTCGATTTTTGGGGAGCAATTTTAGAAGAACTCATCATTTCTCTTGATAAACCTTGAGGAATTTCTTTGTCCATGGGCTTTCCATTTTCAGAATAAATAATACCACCTTTAATAAATCCATTATCATCACCAAATACTTGTTGACTCAAAGGATTGCTCGTTTTATCATAAATTTTGCCGTCTTTTATAAAGCTTCCATCATTGCCAAAAGGAGCATTGGCAATAGGCTTTCCATCCTTACCGCAAATCAAACCTTTCTTTACCAAGGTAATTATAATCACAGAATAATGCTTATCCAAGGGCTTGCCACTTTTTGTCTGAACAATTCCGTCTTTAACCATATTTCCTTCGGAATCAAAAATTCCTTGTTTCAAGAGTTTGCCTGCTTTGTCAACGACAACTCCTTGAAGAACTCGTAGACCTTCAGGTCCAAAAGCTTCTTGACTTAATGGTTGTCCATTCACATCGTAGATTTTTCCATTTTTAATGAAACTTGTTTCAGGATTGAGAATTCCTTTCGTTAATGGTTTTTCATTCGCTCCATAAATAAGACCTTCTTTAACAAAAGAGCCATCTCCTCCATGAGATTCATGAATGTCCTTTTCATTAAGTGGATGCCCTTTGCTGTCGTAGATCTTTCCATTTTTAATCACGTTACCCTTGCTGTCGAAACTTCCACTCTGTAAAGGTTTGCCATCTTCTCCACAAACTAAACCATATCTAACAAAATTAATGCTAACCACTGACATCTTTTTATTAAGTGGCTTTCCATTAGGTCCACAGATGGAACCATTTTGAATATAGTTTCCTTCGATCCCAAAGACACCTCTGCTTAAAGGCTTCATATCTTTTCCATAAATAAACCCATTTTGAATGTATCCTCCATTTGTTCCAAATGAGCTGTGGTTTAAAGGCTGACCATCTTCTCCAAAAAGTCGTCCATCCTCAACATAGGATCCATTTGGGAGTTGAGAGCCCGCATTGAGCAACTGTCCTCCCCATCCGTAGATCAATCCATCCTTTATGTAACTTCCATCCGGCCTGAAAGCTCCCTGCTTGACAAGTTGTTCATTACTATCGTAAACGACCCCATCTTGAATGTAGCATCCATCAGGCAGAAGGGATCCCTGATTCTTGGACTTAGCCAGTACAGCATCAACGATCTTACCTTCCTTTAGCGCAAGATTGTCAGGACCTTTATCATCTTGAGTTATGGGATTTCCATCAATTCCAACGATTAACCCATTCTTTATTTGATTTCCATCTGGTCCAAAGATTCCTTCCGTGACAATAATTCCATCTTTACTGTAAACTAAACCTCCAGTTACATAAGATCCATCAGATCCAAAAGTATCTTTGTTCAACGGTTTGCCGAATTGATCGAAAATTACTCCATTCGTAATAAAACTATCTTCTGGCAAAGCAGAACTAAGATTTAAAAGTTTACCATCCTGCCCATTGACGAGTCCATCCTTAATATAACTGCCATCTGGTTTAAAGAAAGCAGATTTTAGAGGCTTTCCATCCTTGATGCAGAGCTTTCCGTCTTTAATGCAAGTTCCTTCAGGAATAAAGGAATCCTGATTTAGAAGCTTTCCGTTTTTCGCATAAACCACTCCCTTTTTAACGTAACTTCCATTTGATCCAAAAGATTCCTGCTTTACTGGCTTCCCATCCTTTCCTAAGACCATTCCTTCTCTAATGACAAGTCCATCGTGACCGAGAATTCCGTTGACCAATGGTGAGCCGTTCGCATCGCAAATAATTCCGTCTTTAACAACAGTATTGTCAGCCTTGAAAAGACTTTGGTTCAATGGTGTTCCATTTTTTTTAAAAATTAAACCTTCTTTAATAAAAGCACCATCCACAATAAATGGAATTTGACTGAGGAGTCGACCATCTTTTCCATGAAGAACTCCATCCTTGACGAAAGTACCGTCAGGCTTGTAGTACGCATGTTTTATCGACTTTCCGTCTTTGCTAACAATCTTTCCATCTTTCAGATGGGCTCCATGTGGTAAAAGGGATCCTTGATTGAGAAACTTTCCTTCCTTACCATAAATCATTCCATCTTTAATTGACGAACCGTCCGAACTGAAAGTAACGTGCTTCACAGGTTTTCCTTCTTTAGAGTACACTTTTCCCTCATTTATGTAGAGACCCTCATGTCCGAGTTCTCCACTTGACAGAGGTCTTCCATCTCTTCCGTGTATTAAACCATCATTTACATACGTCGGATCAGGTAAGACAGCATTTTGATTTGACGGTTTTCCGACGTTGTTGCAAACGACTCCATTGACGATGTAGTTTCCGTCCGTTCCGTATGAGCCTTGAGTCAATGGTCTTCCATCGTTTGAGAATATAAGACCCTCTTTCACAAAACTACCATCAGGTCCCAAATGATTTTTCTGGTAAAGTTTGCCATTTTTCAAAATAAGCTTGCCATCTTTAATGAATGCATTGTCTGGACAAATGAGTCTTTTACTTAACGGCTTACCGTCAGGGCCGTTTACCACGCCATTTACTATCGAACAGTTATCAATTCCAACCACTAGTTGATTAATGGCTTTATTATCTTTTCCGACAATAAGTCCATTGGAAATATGCATTCCATGGGGTCCGAAATCTCCCTTCTTGACAGGATTATCGTTTTTGCCGCACACTTTGCCTTCTATTATTTTACTACCTTCTGGACCCAAACTACTTTGGTCAAGAGGTTTACCTTCCTTGCTAAATATTACCCCACCAATTATTCTTGAACCATCTGGCAGTGGAAGAAGATAATATTGTAGCTCTTCTTTCTCTGGACTGGTATCAGACATCAAAGGAACAGTTGTCAGTTGACTCTGTCGCTCTTGATTAAGAAAAGGAGTATTGACATCTTTCATATCAGCACTTGAAGGAGGTAATTGTTTGTCTTTATCCTTTTGCTGTTCTTTTAAACTTGCTGACTCTACATAATTAAGGCCTGGAGTCTTTAAACCAATTGGTTTCAATTCAATAGGAATTTTATTCTCAATATTTTTGCATTCATCTTTTGTTTTTCTTTTCTCAGCAGATTCAGCAACTTTTTGCGTTTGTCCTGGTGCATAATTAAAAGCGAGACCCGTCGCTTTCTTCCCAGTACCAGTTGGAGATTGTTGATTTAGAACGCCTGGAGAGGCAGGCCTTTCTTCATAAGAAAATCCATGAGAAGTAGGTGGTTTTTTGGTTGGAGAGGATGCAGTCTCCTCATATTCATATGGTTTAATAAAAGCTGGTAAATCGGAGGAACCAGATGATTTCTTATCATCAGACTTGTCATTTAGTGTTTTTTCAGTTGTTGTTGTTGTTGTTTTGTCAGAAATCGAAAGATTCAATTCAACATCTGATTTATCTTTCGTGTTATCGAGAACTTTATTTTTCTTTGGCTTCTTCTGCTTTTCCTCCTTATCTTTCTTACCAAACAGAAAGCCACCCACTGGACTCTTTTCATAAGGAAATAGAAAAAAGAAATTGTCAAATTACAAAACTAAAAGCATATTAATTAAAATGCGTAGTAAAATTAAATGTAAAAGAAATAATTTGCTGAGGCTCAATACAAAATTCAAATACATATAGGTTATCATAAATTTATCAAATATTTTGTTTATTTTATTGTAATTTATTTCGTGCCAGTTAAAGTAACTTTAATTGACTATACAAAATTTATGACTTCTTCTTGACCCGTGGTCACTTTGCTTACAAGGAGAAAAAGAAACCGGAGACTTAAGTAGTAGCATTCAAGTCAACGCAATTTGAGTCCAGGCAAATACTACCTGTGCCCAAGTTGTGTTGACTTGAAAGCTACTACTGGAGTCTCCAGTTATGATTGTTGTTTTTTCTCCATAACTCTATAACACTATTCTTTAAATTATATTATACAGAGAGGAAAAATAAAGCTTTTGCAGCATAACACTGTCTTTACTTTTCAAGATTTCAAGATTTTTAAACTGTTGATTTAATATGCTAAATGAAAATAAGATGAAATTGACAGAATAGTTTATGATGATAATAAAGTCTTAATAAAAAGAGAATACTTGAATAAATTGTACAATTTCCTGTATATAATCATATTTTGTTTAAGCGTTGTTTCTTTACCTATACAGCATATGCATTCATAAATTCAAACCTAGAATTATTCAAGTAAATAGCACCAAAATACATGCTTAAAGCAAGCTTACCTTAATTTTTTCTTTCTTATCCTTTTCAGATTTGGCAGGTGAGTTTTTGTTTTTTATTTTATCTCTTACGCTTGGTGAGTTTTCATCTATACTCTCGAGCCCGGTGCTTTCGTTAATTAAATCAGAATTATTGAGATCATTACGGTTTTCCTTCTCACTTTCATGTTTCGACTCCTTTTTGGAAATACTACCAGGCGGTAGGACTGCAATCCCTCCCACCGGTTTCTACAATTAAAGTACACAATCACGCTTCACATCATGCAATAAGCGATAAGCATCAACATATTCCTGACTATTTTACCATTAATCTATTTAAATATCGTCTAAGCTATAATCAGTAAATAAAAAATAAAACGACAATCATGTTGAATAATCATGCCATTTGTAAATTATGTTGAAACTTTAGAAATACATAATTAAAGCTCTAGGTTCCTGTTTGAATATAGATACTCAAATTTTCAGTACGGACTGAGAGAGTTGTAATATATATTACAATAAAAAAAATATTTAAAAAAAGCAACATGCATCGATGGAAATGAGAACACCAAATGGCCACTGACTATTTAAAACGCATATTACAATGGAGGAGTAATAATAATATACTTTCTAATTTCTATGTACTTTTATACCTTATTGCCACGGTTAGCATCGTATTCTCCTTCCAGACTACTGGTACTGCTAGCGGAGGTTGTTCCAGTGCTTGTTTTTCGAGTGAGCTATTGGTGTTAGTTACGACATGTGTCAGTTATTTTTTTTTATAATAGTTGTCAAAGCTCTTTAGACCGAAGATGCGAACGAATAGAAACTTTAAAGTGCATTATTAAAAACAATTTGAGTAATATAATATTACTTAAATATTTCCACACTCTTCACTTCTCTCCTTCTATAGAGCTAAATTTATTCTACATTAATTGAATTAATTAACTAAAATCAACTCAATTCTAATTTACTAAGTTTGAAAATATATATGTACTTCATAACTATGTATATCGAGTTTGCGCGCAAGTATATTATAACCGGATTAAATTCTCTAATACACGAAAATTTGTCATTTTTCAATACTTAATAATGAAATGTAAAATTTTATTAACCTTGCAGCAATTAAATAATTATAACATTCCTTAAAAATTAAAAATATGTAGGGGAGAGTTTAAGATTGTTATTTTTAAAATACATATTAATATAAATGTTTGTTTTTATGATTGAATACAAAATTCAAAATGAAATATTCAATACGGCAGACAATTTTTTCAAAAATCGATTGAATTTACTTGAAATCTGTCTATATTCCCCACTCTCCCCTATGTCAAAATTCTATAAATTAAACATTTTTAAATGATCGATGATCGATGATTTTTAAATTTAAATGATAAAAAATATATATGTAATAGGTAATATTCGAATATTCCAATAGACCTATTTCATTTTGAGTCGTTGCGGCTTATTTTCATAAAATTCTGAAACTTTTTAGAAATGAACCAAGATGCCCTTTCCATATATTTGTAGCAATTATTTTTAAAAAAATTCTGAATCTATCTTGATATTTTAATGGAAGGTACCGCCATTATTTTGACTTCTTTAAATGTTAATGATTGCACGATGTTATATTTTTTTTATTTTATCATATGGGTCCTAAAAACATGCAAGGTGGTCAAAAAAAGAAAATGTTAATTTTTAACCATTTTAAAAAAAAAATTTTTTTATTAATGAAATTTCAACTCATTTTTTCCTTTTTGTTAAAAATTAAAATTTTTGAAAATCCATGGAGAGATTCTAAAAAACTATTAAGAAAGCTTTTTAAAAAATTGTCGATAAAATTAGTTAAAATTGTGAAAGTAGTTCCATCTTGAAAAATCGTAATTTTTTCAAAACTATATAGGTACTCTAGAATGATGAAAAATTAAAATTTTCTTTTTTACCAACTAGTACGTTTTTAGGACCCAAATGATGCAATAACAAAAAAATAACATAGTGCGATCATTAAAATTTAAAGGGGTCAAAATAAAGGTGGTGCTTCCCCTTAATTTTGAAGTTGATTTGTAAGAAAAAAGGTTATTTTAACAGATGACAAAATTGAATAAAACAGGACTTAAATAATTTGGAAAATATAGATATGAATTATACAATATAATAATTACATATAAGTTATACTAATGATATTCATTAAAACGATTTCATATTTTAATTTTTTCCACTGAAAAAACCATTATAATCATACTAGAAACTATAGAATCTAAGGTTACTTTTTAAATAACTTTTAACGAATTTCAATGAGACATGAAATAGTTAATTATGATACAAGTGCGTAAAGTGAGTGATTATACGAGTGTGACGTTTGCAGCACGAGTATAATCAGATTTACGCACGTGTATCATACAACATTTTTTGCAACACCCACCTCTAAAGTTAAGTACCTATTATGAAGAATTACAACTCTCTATTAGAATAATTTCGATTGTATAGAATTAAATAAAACAATCGAAGATCAGGAAAAATATCATTAAGCAGGAGTGTATAAATTTAAAAGTAAAGTTCTTTTTTTAATTTTGTGGTTTTGTATGGTCTAAAACAATCCTTATATTATGTGAGAAAAAATTAGGTGCGTAAAGTAAATTTCAGTGCGTAAAGTGAATCACTTTACACACCGTTTGAAAAAGAGCTTCTTTACACACACTTTTCGGAGTTTTCGGTGTGTAAAATTTAACTTTAGAGGTTAGTGTTGCAACAAAAAATTTTAAATAAACTACAACGACTTTGGCTGAAATAGAGTAATTGACCCAGCACACGAATTTTCGACTTAATGAATTAAATTAACATATAAAAGTCTACTTTCCCAATCGTAGGCCACTGGATAAAATTCTATTTAATTATTTCAAAGTTTAATATTTACTTATGAATAATAAATTATATAAGAGGCGCATGAATACTCCCCATCTGACAAGTAACCGAATTGTATGTAACAGAATTGTCATTTGACCGATCTGACATGTAACCGAAATTATTCTTGTTATTCTTATTCGCATTAAAATAGGACTGTTAAATGATAGTTCTCTCGAATGTCAGGTCGGTCAAATGACAATTCGGTTGCAAGTCATGTCGTTTCCCAAGTAGCACGTAATATTACAGTAATATTACATCAATATTACCCGGTAACATCACCATCAGGCGGACATTTTAATATCACTGTAATATTCCAGTTATATTACTGGGTAATTTTACAGTAATATTACAGTAATATTACGTGCTAGTTGGGTTTTCTCTTTCTAAAAAACAACATTGCGATAAAAGGTCGAATAGAAAAAAATCAAACTCGAAAAACTATCGAAATAAGAAATGTGCATTGAGAATGAAAAATGTAAATAGAAGGGCGAAACATATTTCAAGATTAGAAATGAACCTCCCAATTCTGTAACTCGTTTAGCGCTCGGACGAACGGTCTATTAGTAGTCGGGTAGCAGCGAGCGTCAATGGCTCCCTCGCTGCTACCCGACTACCAATAGAGCGTCTGGCCGAGCGCTAAACGAGTTATAGAATTGGGAGGTTCAAATGTACAGGTGGAGCTGCAGTTGATTCCGTCAAAAATAAGCGCTAATATTTAAATTATATACAAATCTCATTTGTCATTAAACACAAAAGGGTATGTCCAACATGTGAAATGTAAACAAACCATGCACATTTTTTCGCACTTCTCATTTGTGTAGAAAATAAAAATTTGTTAATTTCTTTGTGAAAATGGTAAATTGATACATTATACTAGGTAACTATACTTCTTTTAACAACTTTTCTGAACAAATAAGTATAATTATTATAAACTGAAAAGTTTACTGAATTACCAATTTTCTTACATTTTTCGCACTTCTCATTTGGGTAGATAATAAAATAAAAATTTGTTAATTTCTTTATGAAAATGGTAAATTAATGTATTAAACTTGGTAACTATACTTTATTTAACTAATTATATGAAAAAATAAGTACAATTATAATGAAATGAAAAGTACACTGAATTAGCAATTTTTTCAAGATTTCGAAAAAAAAACAATTTGAGTATATCTGAGGCACGGACGTTGAGGACCTAGGTGGGAGAAAGTTAAAGAAGGGGTAAAATTTCAGAATTTTACCCTTTCCAAGATGTGACCGTCCAATGGCTCAACTCTTTCTCCCACCTAGGTGCTCAACGTCCGTGCCTCAGATATACTCAAATTGTTTTTTTTTCGAAACCTTGAAAAAATTGCTAATTCAGTGTACTTTTCATTTCATTATAATTGTACTTATTTTTTCATATAATTAGTTAAATAAAGTATAGTTACCAAGTTTAATACATTAATTTACCATTTTTATAAAGAAAACGACAAATTTTTATTTTCTACCCAAATGAGAAGTGCGAAAAAATGTGCATGGTTTTTTTCCATTTTATGTTTGTTTACATTTCACATGTTGGACTTGCTCTTAAATTGTATTATACAAAAAAATTAATAAGTACAACACTATTTTACACAAAGCGGAAATTATTTTCGGATCTCCTTTTACTTTTTTATCATGCATGTAGATTATAACAGCTCTTACGTTGTAGAAATGAACATAACCTATTGAGTTAAAGCCACTTGATTGGTCAAAATAATTAGCGCGCAATAATTTTAAAATATGTCATTCAACCTAATAATACTTAAATATTATACACGGAGAGAAATAGATGGTACGGGGTACTATCTAGATAGTATCAGGTATCATATTTGATCTTACATATACGGACAGGAATCTATATTGTACGGGATACTATACATATTGTACGGAGTACCATCTTGATTGTAAAGTGGGTAACATAACCTCACTTTTTTAACATCTAGATGGTACCGAGTAGAATATAGATTGTACCGGATACCATCTACTTTTTACCATCTTAAGATCATAATTTCTTACCATCTATTTCTCTCCGTGTAATACATTATTTTCCTTTGTTATTAATAAATAATTTATAAAAAAGAAAAATAAACATAATTTCAACTGTAGGTAGTGAAAAATATTGTTTTTGAAGGTTTGTTTTAAATTCATGATTTACAGAATGTAATTTTTTAAATTACCATTTCAGTGACTATTTTAAGGTATCACATCGGCACTAATCGGAGTCAAAAGTTTGTAGCTCGCATTACTACTTCCCGCACTATACTTTCGCCCTCAACTCCCTATACTCTCAGCCCATACTGTACCTACTTCTACAAATACACTCGTACACGTATACCCCACACTAGCAGCGATTAGAAGGAGTAGGAGGTTTGACAACGTCGCTATAAGTCTCGCTTTGACTACTGTGGACTACTGTCTCTCTCTAACTAATGTTACCATCCTGCGATGTTGCCACATCAAAGTGGCGGGTGTGCTATATATTGCAAATGACGTCATGAAATAGAATTTTTAATTTATAATTACAAATAAACGGCACGGTAAATTATAAATTTCTTTGTATATTTTAGTTCCAAATTTATTCGTGAATTCAACATTAGTTTTTGAAAAAAATTTATAGAAAACTTCTGATGATATTTATGAAAATGTACTTCTCCCCCATACATTAGTCCCGTCTCCCATGCAAAATAAGCAACTTTGATTGCTAATATCTCTGGTTTCGAACGGCGAAAATTCTTCATATTTTGCAAATTTGTCAAGAATGATAATAAGAACATATGGTAAAATTTTCAAGAAAATCTATAGAAAACGGTTTTAC